TAAAATAAATATATAATTTTTAAAAGTATGCTGGATACTGGAGAAATGGCTCAGTGGCTAAGAGATCAAATCACTCTTGAAGAGAGTCCCCAAGTACAATTTCCAGCACCCAATTGGATGACTCACCTGTAACACTAGCTCCTCTGGCATCCATGAGTACCTACTGGCACACACATACACATAATTAAGAACAACAAAATAACTTAAAGTATGCCAAGTAGAGATTATTTATCTAGCTTGGGGCCCTTTCAGCAGCCAAATATGGTCGATGGCGAGGCAGAAGCCAGCTGTAGCATTGGCCTAAAGGCTGTCAAGTATGTGGAGCCTTATAGACAGAAGATGAGAGTGTAGCCCTACATCCCCCTGGCTTCAAGCTGTTCAAAGCAGTAAGAGTCAGCTCCACTTAGTTCCTCAGAAGTGGGAGACATATGGAGTCCCATGGCATATTCTAGGATGAGGCAAAAAGGCTCATGGAGAATGACTGTGCATTGTGGAAGGATAACTCAAATAGTGTCTCTCATCAAGCCATTAATTTACCTCTGATCTTTTGAGAAAATGATACAAGCAATGGAATCTTTTCATTCTGTATTGGACCTTGGTAAAATTTTTCTTAACTATCCCCTTAGCAGCTGATTCCTGAGATCATTGGCACTTGCTTAGAATGGTAAGTATTGGGCCTTTAATAATCCTGACTACCCTTTGTAAAATGGTGTAGGGAAAGTGATACATAACTCAGTAGATAAAGACTCCTATCACGCCGGGCGGTGGTGGCGCACACCTTTAATCCTAGCACTCGGGAGGTAGAGGCAGGCAGATCTCTGGGAGTTTGAGGCCAGCCTGGTCTACAAGAGCTAGTTCCAGCAGAGGCACCAAAGCTACAGAGAAACCCTGTCTCGAAAAAAACAAAAAAAAAAAAGACTCCTATCACCAAGCCTGATGACCTGAGTTCTAGCCCTGTAAACTACATGGCAGAAAGAGGAAATCAATTTTTGCAAGTTGTCTTCTGAAGCATGCACACACACACAAAAATGTAATTTCATTACATAGATTATATAATACTAACCTCTGAGTGTTTTACAGATTTAGAAACACATATGAAAAGCATGGGAGCAACACCCAAAGAAGTAAGTATGGGAAATCATATGGGGTTATAAGGGCCAGGACACCTATAAAAATTTTAGAAGCTTTACGATGCAGATGATACCTACCATGATGAATGATAAAAATCCTACAAAAGCCTATGCCTGCAAATTTTAGTCAAAATAATGCTTAGAGTTTGAGTGAGCCAGACATGGTACACACTTATAATCCTAGTGTTTAGGAGGTCGAAGGATTGGGAGATCAAGGTCATTCTTGGCTATTATATGAGTTCGATCTCAGCCTGGGCTATATGAGATCCTATCTCAAAAAAAGCAAACAAGAGTTTGAATGAAGGTACAATGTATGGGTGAAAAAAGATGTTTCCATAATCTGTAAATTGCTAAACAAAAATCTCAGTGCCAGAGATGGTTATTTCCTTAGATGCTATTAAGGGAGAAGGAGGAAGAGGAAAGGGGGCGAGAGGGAGAGGAAAAGGGAGAAGCAAGCAGAAACATGCAAATATTTTTGAGTATTTGGTGCTGGGATGGAACCTACAGCATACTCAGCAAGTATTTTAACCTTGAGCTACAACCCTAGTCTACATGTATGTCAAGTTGGAGACCATCCATAATTAGATTAGAAGGGAAAAGAGAAGCATTCAGCCAACACACAAGATGAAAGCAGAGAAGCCACAAACCCCAGAGAGAAGCAGAGAAAGCCGGGGGGAGCCAAATACCCACACCCAGCAATGGAAAACCTCTGCTGTGGCCCACCAGTTATTTCAGCACATATTCAAATGTAGAAAGATTATAGTGTGCTAGTTTTTTTTGTAGAAATAGTTATTGTCAATTTTTTCCTAAATGCTGGATCTCCATCTAGAACCTTCAACTACCCTCTAAGATAGTTCTAAACCTGTGGATCACAACCCCTTTGACAAACTTCTATCTCCAAAAATATTTACATTACGATTTGTAACAGTAGCAAAATTACAGTTATGAAGTAGCAACAAAAGCAATCTTATGGTGGGGGGGGGAGTCACCACAATGAGGAACTGTATTAAAAGGTTGGCAGAATATGGAAGATTGAGAACCACTGCTATAAGCAGCCCAGGTTACTACGCTGAAGACTGAAGTGCCAGACATGTTTGTTTTTTCAGAAACATTGGCTGTACAGACCAGATGTGCTTCAGATGACTCTAGCACTAGCTACTACCTAACAGCAGCCACCTGGGATCCTAGAGGAGCCAAATCCCCTAACTGTGCAGCCCATGGAGCCATGGAATAGAGTACTAAGCCACCAAACTTTAGTGTTGCATAGCTCTAGACAAACAAGAAAGGCAGCAGTGGCCCTAGTAAGGCTTGTCACACTTTCATAAATTTCTTCCATAACAAAAGCAACAATAACCAATCATTCTTTCAATCCCTTTAATAAGGTACTCTGAGAAACCAGAAGGATAACAGGCAGGGAAGACAAAGTAGCGCTTTTTAAGCCCACTCAGTAATTCATCAGTCTTCTTCTGGTAACTGGATCTTGCTGGGATCAAAACAGTTGGATTCCATGATGGGGAGACCGTTGGTTTCTCGGTATTTTACAAGTCTCTCAGCTTCCCGGCGGGCCCACTCTTGCATCCTAGAAGCAGCAACAGGCATGATCTATGTGAGAGAGCCTCACTAGACACCAGTTCCCCTCCTTAGCACTCCATACCCCACCAATCAATGCAGGGCAAAGATTCTGGCCAGAGACTCCTTCAACCTTTACCCTTGCTCCTGCTTCTACTCACTCTGCTCTCTTGGAAAACCCCATACCTGTAGTCAGGCAGATATGCCACAAAAGTGGTACCAAAGACCAGGACGATGGAAAAACCAAAGAAGAAGACAGCTCGCATGTTCCAGACGTCCACCACAGGGTCCTGGTCATAGCCGTGAAAGTCTGGGTTCTAAGGAGAGGTAAAGATCAATAAGGGTTTCCTCCCGCATAATAAAAATATATGCTGGCCCTGCATGGTCTGGTCTCTAATCTGCCCTCAAACCAACTTCTTATTCCTCACTAAAATCTTTCCTATTCTTAGCTTGTGAAGTTCCTTCCCAACAAAGGGCTTTGGTATTTGCTCTTCCCCCCTCTACCTAGAAAGTGCTTCCTCTAAATCTAATCAGAGCTGGATCCATGCCCCTCCCCTCATCCAAGGTTTTAACTTTATTTCCAAAGGAGTAATTGGCTTCACCTACTTGTTTGGGAAACATTACCTAATCACCCTGTCTGTTAAGTTGTACCCTTGGGAAGTGCTATTTATAAAGGTTTAAAAATGGCTGAATGTTGGTAATTTCCTATGGGTCCACTTACCCTATAGCACTCTATATATTTAAGCCCCTCAACCAGAGGTTAGTGTTGATGAAATACTTATACACCAGGCCTTTTCAAATACACAAACCTCACATATCCTAGTAAGGTGCAAATGGTAATAATAAACATCTTCTAATTCTGAGTACTTCTGAAGTGGCCGGAGCTGTTGAACCATTCTGACTCATTTAATCATATGAAGCAGTTCCATTTCAGGTGTCCTATTACTTTTCTCACTCTACAAAGAAACTAAGGCAGCAAAAGACTATAAACTACCTGCCCAAGGTCATACAAGTGAATAAATTTCAACCCACGGTGTCTGACTCCAGGGTCTCTGTTATTCATAAAGCACGGGAATTCAAATAGTCCTAAATTCAAAAATCAGCTCCACTTCCTACTTAAGTTATGTGATCTTGAGCAAGCAACTTAATTGTTTCGGTATCCTCATCTGCATAATGGTAACAGTAGTAGCGTCTACCTCAAAATCATGCTGTTTTTGAACATAGATATAAAGTGTTTACACAGGAACCGAGCACATGCCATCCCAGAATTTAGGATTATCCTGATTTTTAATGCGCTTTGGGCACTGCCCACTTTAAGTGTGATTTCTGTCTACAAGCAAAGCAAATCCTCCTTTGAGTCGTAGACCGAAGATAACAAAACAAAAAAGGGGAAAACAAGTCAAAACTATGAATCTTTAAAGATCTTGTTTCCGGAGCAAGCCTCGAGCTGGAGAACGATCTCTTCGACAGCGGTCTGCTTGGTCCCGGATTGGCCCCTGCGGCAACCCGTTTCCCACTCCCTCTCACCTTCGCGTAGAGGTTTTCGTCCTCGGGTTCTGGGTCCTCCTGCCAGAGTGTGGTCGGTTCTTGTGACCGCTTTCTCTCCACAGCAGACGGGGAGATTACAGCCCTGGAGGACTCCCAGCGAACGCGGGCAGCCGGGAGCTCTCGTATAGCCGCTGCTGCCAAAAGCCGGCGAGCGTATAAACTTAACAGCCTGGCCGCCATGACAGCTTGTGAGGCTGAGTCGGGGATGGGGGGGGGGGGGGGGAGACACGGAAATGCGAAGTGCGCAGCTGCGCGGTTGATCCCAGCGCGATTTTTGTCGCTCCGCCCTCACCTCGCTAAATAGATCCTTGTTCTAAGTTTGTTTTCAAGCGTGGCAAGGTGAGGACTCTGTTTTGCTTCCCACGTCGTGTTGTCATCAAATCAACTTTATCCTTTCTGTCACGCTGGGAGAAATTTAGTCTTGAAAGGTCTGTTTATTTTCTTCATAAGAAGAAAGTAGTGACATTTAGAAGGCCTTGTGGGGAAAGAGGTGGGCTTTTGCTTGTCTTTCAACTTCATGGCAAAGCAAGCTCTAAAAAGCGGGCCTCATAGTGGTAGCCAATAGCTACTCTTTTTCTGGACTCCCGGGGTGTTCTCACGGAATGGGGAGGTAGCATATGCTTGCCAATCAGAGAAGGCCAGGACCAGCCCATGGCGGACAGCAACCAATCGTCAAAGCCAGCCAGAGCGCGCTCCCTCAGTAGGTGGATGGAGGTCGGAGCGCAGGCTCCCGTCTCCTCATCGCCATTTTGTGTCAGTGACTGCAGCCGGCTGGAAGAAGGCGGCACTGAGTTTCCTTGGGAGGGCTGCGCGTCGGGCGCGTCTCCCCTCCCCCTTTCCCCTCTTTTGCCACTAGCCTTGGACTTAGTTGTTGCACGCAATCGGCTCCCGTTGAACTAGCAGTTCTGGAGAGGTGACGGCTGGCGGAGGTGATGCCTGGGGGCCCTCCCTTGACAGCCCGGGCCGGGAAGGTGAGCGCTGTTTCGGGTGGTGGGGGCCGAGGTAAGGGAGCGGGGCGTGCGCCAGGGGGTGGTGGTGCGGTAAACATAGAAGAGGCGCGGGGACGGACTGCACACTTCGGGGTTCACAAAGCTGAGGGATGCACCTGAGAGAGGGTGTCCCCCCACTTTTTCTTATGAAAGCAAAAGCGCGTGCGCGATTGGAACACGGGATGGGTGCACGAGGGTGGGGGAAGGGAGGGACAGATGGGAGTGGGGTACCGGGACTTACTATGTTTGCTCCATCGAACTTTTATTTTTTGGAAGTGCGTGTCTGCGACTTTGCGGGGGTATTCTAAGAGCAGGGGTGTGCTGGCTGTGTCCTGTGTTACTTATTATCCACGCGGAAATACTCTGGTTGCAGCCTCTATTCATTTCTGTGGCGGGGATGGGGGGTGGCGAGCGCGGAGAGAGAAAGTGACTATGGTTTTTATCCTTGGAGTGTGTCTCTGACCTCCAGTCCTTATCGGTCAGGAAACTGTCGTGTTACTGGCCGACCCCAACCTATTTATTGAATGCTGGGAAGGGTGAGGTGGATAGAGAAATATAGATGCGACTTTTATTCTTTTGAGAGTTGTATTTGACACTGACATTCAAATATTAAAAGGGGAATTGTTTATTTATGTCTCTTGTGGGTTACCTTCTGTGATCTTGGCCCTTGGTTATTTGGGGGCTCGCCGGTAACTTTGATTCTTCTCTGTGCTGTGTATATGACAATGTTTGACTCACCCTTTTGCCATTGAGGGCTTTGCATCAGGTTCTCAGCCATTAGGGTTCCTGGTTAACTGTTTTCCCCCATCTGGGAGCAGTTAGCTGGTTTCTTGTGGTTTGAGGTGGAAGAGAAAATAGGAACTTGAAGGAAAGGTGTGGTGGCAGCCTAGTGTTAGGCCTTGCTTTCCTTGGTTCCTGTACAGTGGGTGGCAGCTGAAGATTCAGGGATAATTCCCATCCCTGGTTGGGTCACATCACTCTCAGGACTTGTACTTCTTGAGGCAGCCCCAAAAGTTGGATGAAGTGACTGCTCCTTTCAACTCTGTAGAACAAGATGTTTTGGAACCGCTTCAGAAAGAGGCCTCTTTTGCCTCTTGAAAACTTGGCCTATGATCCCTGGGGAGAGGGATCCACCTGGGGACCTGGCTGCACGTCACATCATGGCTGAGCCACTTGCCATATGAGGACCAGAGCTCTGTTGGCCAGGAGCCCAGGGAGGTGGCAGCTGTCTTGTTGCCAAGTTAGCCCCTACACACATTCCCTCCTTCCCTCCCTCCCTCCAAAAGCCTTTCAAAGTTTCTATCTGCCTTGTTAGGGTATAGCTAACATCTTGTTGGGAGGATGAAATGATACCTTGACCGATGGGGAGGTGCTTGGGATTCCATTGGTGAAGTCTTTTATTACTCTTTTGTCTTTTGGTGTTTTGCTGTTTGTTTTTGTGATGCTGGGGATGTGACCCAAGGGCCTTGAACATGGCTGTGCTGGTCATGTTCTGTCTCACAACTATATCCCCATCCAATTATTGTGGTCTTATTTCTGTGACTTATGCCTAATCCTAGGCAGATCGTTCAGCAGTTGATCTAAGAATAAGAATGCAAAGCCTTGATCACATAGCCGGTGGTACCACCAGATCTCTGTAAGATGTTCTTTGTTTGATAAGGGCTTTACTGTTTTCTGGGGGCAGTAGAATCTTGCCTTATGCTTGTGGGGAAAGGAAGGAGAGAGCCAAATGGGGGCTGTCTTCCTGCACTGATTGACAGGAGCACAAGGAAGTAGAAAACAATGTCCCTGGGCTACAGGACTGTAGAGAGTCTTGACAATGACATTCTCTCAAGGAGGTCTTCTCTGCACCAACTACCTTGACCCTTTTCTTCCTTCCATTCTTTGCAGAGTCTCTGCAGGAGGTATCACCCAGGCTGGCAGATCATGGTGGCAGCAGTGAGGGTGGCTGGGAAGTGAAAAGGAGCCAGCAACTGAGGAGGGGCCCCCAACAGCTCCCGAAGATCCTATCAGGACATGGAGTATGAAAGACGGTGAGTTCTCCATTCCCTCTGCGCCCAGGCACTATAAGCATGCCCCCGTGTGAACACCAATCCAGGAATGATGCTGAGGGACACTTAACTTCTAGGCAGAAGAAACAACACAACAAAGGAGTGGTTTCTATGCTCCGAGAATGCAGAGATGAACAAGACATGATGATTGTAGGTCTCCTTGTGAGAGACTGTCTTGCTGTGTATGGTCTTACAAGGCAGAGCACGTAGTTTACAGGTGATGAGTACCATGGCTGGATGTGAGGATAGGTTTCTTGTTAGTATGGGTGAGGAGGCCAGAGAGTGATGCCAGCTATCATCTACCTCAATTGCTCTCCCAGTTATTTTTTGAGGCTGAGTTTTACATTCAACCCAGAGCTCCTAGATTTAGCTATACTGGTTGGCCAACAAGCCTGGGGGAGTCCTCTTTCTCTACCTCCTCAGCATTAGGATTACAGGCATGTGTCACACCTGGTGTATTTATATGGGTGATGGGGAATTGAGCTCAGGCAGTTTACTAACAGAGCCACCTTCCAGGCCTGTGAAGGGTGGGTTTTGTTTTGGATTTAAGATGGGTCTTGCTCTGTTGGATAAGCTTGTCTCAAAATCCTAGGTGCAAGTGATACGCAAATTCATCTTCCCGAGTAACAAACATTTAGGATACTTGGTAAAATTGAACCTAGGTTGCACAGCTCAGCATGTTCTGTACCATTCAGCTATTTTATATTCTCAGCCCTTTACATTTTATTCTGAGATAGACTGTAAATTGCCCAATTTGGGCTTGTTTGTACTCAATCTGTAACCCAGACCTTGCAACTGTCCTACCTCAGTCTCTGAGTTTACAGGCCTATACTACCAGACCCTGCTTATATATTTATTTATTTTATGTGCATGAATGTTTTGCTTGCATGTGTCTTTGCACCATGTGTGTTCCTGGTGCCGCCAGAAGAGGGCATTGGGCCCTCTGGAACTGGAATTACAGGCAGTTGTGAGTGAGCCACCATGTAAGTGCTAGAAATCGAGCCTGGGTTCTCTGGAAGAGCAATCAAGTGCTCTTAACTGCTGAGCCATCTCTCCAATCCATAGTTATTTATTTTTGAAGTAGGGTTTCACCATGTAGTTTCTATCTACCTGGAACTCATTGCAAACACCAGCACCAGCAAGATATTGGAACTAGCATGTGCTACCATGCCTGGCACTGGCCTCCTTTTAAAACTGTCTTTTGAAAGGCATCTGGTGGCTAGAAATATACTCAGTGGTAGAACTCTTACTTAGCATGTGTGAAGTGTTAAGTTCAATACCATATTTGCTTAGGAGAAGATTAATTTGATTGTCAACCATAATCACTACAACTACTATGTGACTGAGCTTCAGGTAGCTATACTTCCTTAGACTTTGTTGCCAAGTAAAACTACTGGTTTCCTTTTGATTTTTAGAGGATCCAAAATGTAGAGGTTTGAGTTAATCACATTTTCCATTTCTAAATAGATTTTATCAAAGACCAGTCACCACAAGGCCTCTTTTACTGTGTTTGGTTTATTTTTTTATTTCTTCAATTTATTCCCAATTCCCACCTCTGTAGGCATCAGCTCTGTTGTACTTAATATGTATCCTTCTAAAATAGTGTTATCTCAAGTGTCTTTAATTCTTATAAAGAGCATAGTGCTACAGTATTCCTTTTGTCTCCTGAACTCCATATTACTCAGCACTGTATATTTTAGCTGTCTCTATTGTCATTAATATACAAAATGTTTTGTCTCTAATTGGTGCCAAAGGTACCATGAGGTGTCCATGTTACGTTTTACTTAATGTGTGTGTGCCTGCCAAGAATAGATACTGTTGTTTTTGTGGTTGTTGTTGAGACAGGATCTCATCCATGCTGTCCTGGAAGCCACCCTATAGCTCAGACTGACTGACCTGAGACTTGTGGTAATCTTCTTCCCTCGGTCTCCTGATGATCTGTTCTTAATAAATAAATCCTTACTTTCGTGCTTCCTCTTTTTTAGAACAAGGTCTCACTACGAAGCTCTTACTGTCCTGGAATTTGTTATATAGACCCAGCTGGCCTCGAACTCATAAGATTAGAGGCATGTACTTCCATGACCAGATCTTGCCATATTTGTGATTTCAGAATCTTTTCTTAACCTTTTGCATTCACATCTTTTTTTTTTTTTTTGGTTTTTCGAGACAGGGTTTCTCTGTGGTTTTGGAGCCTGTCCTGGAACTAGCTCTTGTAGACCAGGCTGGCCTCGAAATCACAGAGATCCGCCTGCCTCTGCCTCCCAATTGCATTCACATCTTTAGCTCATTTAGAATCCAGTTTTGAATATGGTATAAGATAAGTTTTAGTTTGTTTTCATTCTTACAGCGGGCAGTTTGCTGAGTACCATCTCCTAAATAGTTCATTTTTGCTTGGGTTCCCTCCATCTTGAATGATCTAGGTTGTTCCATTTATCTCTTTGCTTATTCCTACACCATAATCTTACCATTTTTATTACTGTGGATTTATACAGTTTCTTAATAGTTCTCTTATTGCTCTTATTTTTCAAACTTGATTTAACCATTTGTGGCGTTTTATTCTACGTAAAAACTAATCAAAGGCTGAGTGGTACAGCCTGTGCTTAGTATGTATGAGATCCTGGGTTCCATCCCCCAAGATTTAAAGAAATCATCTCAAACACAGGACTTTTAATTGAGATTGCATCAAATTTCTGTACTGAGTTGAACTTGGGTCCTCTGGAAGAACAGTAAATGCTCTTAACTGCTGAGCCATCTTTCTAGCTCCAAGGAAGCATACTTTTTTTTTTATCTTTGGTTTTTTTTTTATTTATTAAAAATTTCCACCACATCCCCTCTTCCCATTTTCCTCCCACTCCTCCTACTTTTTTTTGTTTTTTTGGGTTTTTTTTTTTTGTTTTTTGCTTTTTGTTTTTTTTCGAGACAGGGTTTCTCTGGCTTTGGAGCATTTCCTGGAACTAGCTCTTGTAGTCCAGGCTAGTCTCGAACTCACAGAGATCCGCCTGCCTCTGCCTCCCAAGTGCTGGGATTCAAGGCGTGCGCCACTACCACCCAGCTCCTCCTACTTTTAAATGGCATAAAAATCTACCTGCTTGCTTAAGTAATAACTTACTCTGTTAAAGTGCAATCACTAGGAAAGTGGAGAGGTGGCTTAGCTTTTAAGAGCACTTGCCGTTCTTTGAGAGGTAAGAGTTCAGTTCCCAGCATCCATGTCCAATAAGTGCTCTTTACCTCTGAGCCATTTCTTCACCCCATTTTATTTTATTTTATTTATATGTGTATGTGTGTGTTAGTGTATACATGTGTAGAGCTGTGCACGTGCATGTATGTGGACGTAATGTGTAGGTCAGAAGGCAGCTCTGAGTACCACACTTGAGTTCCTTCCACCTTTTGTTTGAGGTAGGACTGTCATTGTTCTAGGTAGCCATTGAGCTCCAGGGATCTACCTATCTCCTCCCAGTTTTGATATCACTGGATTACAAGCACATGCTACTATACTTGGCTTTTTTTTTATCTGAGTTCTGGAGATTTGGACTCAGGTCCTTATGCTTTAGAAACAAGAGTTCTACTGACAGAGCCATCTCTCCAACCAAACACACATGGAATTTTTTTCGAGACAGGGTTTCTCTGTGTAATAACCTTAGTTCTCTTGAAATTTATTTTGTAGACCAGGCTGGCCTCAAACTCACAGAAATGTGTTTGTCTTTGCTTCTTGAGTGCTGGGATTAAAGGCATGTGTCACCACACCTGGCTCACATAAGAGATTTTTATAATTAAGAATATTCAACCCAGGGGCTGGAGAGGTGGCTCAGTGGTTAAGAATACTGGCACAGCCGGGCGGTGGTGGCACACGCCTTTAATCCCAGCACTCGGGAGGCAGAGGCAGGCGGATCTCTGTGAGTTCAAAGCCAGCCTGGACTAAGAGCTAGTTCCAGGACCGGAACCAAAAGCTACGGAGAAACCCTGTCTCGAAAATCCAAAAAAAAAAAAAAATACTGGCTTATCTTCCAGAGGACCCAGGTTCAATTCCCAGCAACCACATGACAACTCACAACTGTCTGTAACTCAATTTCTAGTGGATCTTACTCCCTCAAAAAACATGCAGGTCAAACACCAATGCATGTTAAAATTAAAAAAGAATATTTAGCGCAGTGGTAATGGCATACACTTTTACTCCCAGAATTTGGGAGGTAGAAGCAGGCAGATCTCTGAGTTTGAGGCCAGCCTGGTCTACAGAGTGAATGCCAAGACAGCCAGAGCTACACAGAGAAACCCTGTCTCAAAAAAACAAACAAAAAAGTGTGTGTGTGTTTATTTGTTTGCTTATTACTCACTTATTTATTTATTCATTCAGGGTCAACAGGTGTGATAGCACACGGCCTGTAATACTAGCCCTCAGGAGATGGAAGCAGGATGATTAGGAGTTCAGATTAATATTAACTGCGGGTCTAACTCAGGTAAAGTAGATCACTATCCCTAGTCTTAAAGGAACATGTCCAAAATGTTTCTCTCTCTCTTTTTTCATTTGGGTGTTTTGTTTTTGAGACAGGGTTTCTCTGTGCAGCCCTGACTGGAACTAGCTCTGCAGACCAGGCTGGCCTTGAATTCACAGAGATCTGCCTGCCTCTGCCTCCCAAGTGCTAGGATTAAAGGCGTGTGCCACCACCACTTAGCTCATTTGGGATTTTTGAGACAGGGTCTTACTATTGTAGCCCTTGGCTGGCCTGGAAGACATAGAGATTGGCTTGCCTATGTTTCTCAAGTGCTGGGATTAAAGACACATGTACGGTGCCCAGTCAAAATTTCTCTAATAAAGTAAGGTGTGTGTGTGTTGCAATTTTTTACATATAACTTTTAATAAGCCAGGAAAATTCTCTGAGCTTGATGTGGTGATGAATTTTTTTTATCCTACTCTCTGGAAACTGAAGCAAGAAGATCCTGAGTTTCAGACTAGTTTGGGCCATATCTCTCTCGTCTCCCTCCTATTCCTATGAGTCCCTGCCTTTTCCCAACTATTTTCTCTTATATTTTCACATATATTAAAAAATAGTATATTTATTTATTTGAGGGAGGGGCATGTGTGTGTGTGTGTGTGTGTGTATGTCACAGGACAACTTGCGAGACTCAGTTCTTTCCTGTTTAGGAGACCACAGCTGCAGTGAATTCAAAATTGCAAGTGCCGTGTCATACCCAGCCCCACCCTACCTTCCTCTATGTTTTTGGTTTTGTGTTTTTGTTTGTTTTCAGGCAGGGTCAATCTCTGTCTCTGTCTTTCTGTCTTTCTGTCTTTCTCTCTCTTAACTCTGGCTGTCCTGAAACTCAAAGAGATCTACCCACCCCCTGCCTCCCAAGTGATGGGATTAAAGGCATGCACTACCATATCTAGATGGGTTTGAGTATGTTTTTAAAGTTGCTAGGTTTGGGTGCCAACAAGATAGTTGGTTCAGCAAGTGAAGCGCTTGCTGCACAAACCTAGAGCCCTGAGTTCAATTCCCCTAGAAGTCATATATAAAGCTTGAAGAAGAGAACAGGTTCACCAAAGTTGCCCTCTGACTTCTATATGCATGCTCTGGTCCATCTGCCCACTCACATACATTATGTACACATATAGTAATAATAAATCTTTTAATTTAAAAGCTCTGCTAGGTTTTTTATTCTTTAGAAAATTATTGTGAGTATTCACATGGTACTGTCACATAAGGGTGTTTAATACAGGCATGTCTTTCATGTTAGTCTGTTTTATTTCCTTAGACAGTTTTGCTTCTACTTTCATGTTAAATACATGCATGCTTTTATGTGCATGTATAGAATATAGGGACCACAGAGAAAACATTATGTCTGTCATTCTGAGATTGGCTTAGTTCACTTAATGTCTATATCCAGTTGCATCCATCTCTTGAAAAAGGCCTAACTTCCTTTGTGGCTGGAAAAGAATGTTATTATTTGTATATAGCACAATTTCCTTACCCGTTCCTTTGTTGTTGGACACCTATGTTGGTTCCATATTGTTGCAAATTGTCTGCAATAAACATTGGTGTGTAAATGTCTCTGATTTGTTGACTTGAAGTCCTTCAGATAAATACACAGCAGTGGTAAAGCTGGGTCTTCTGAGAGATCTATTTTTAGTTTCTGAGGTGCCTCCCTACAGAATTCCTAGTAAATGGACTAGTTTACATTCCCAACCAGTCTGTGAAGGCTCCTGTTGTTCACTTCCTCACCAGCGTTGTTATTTTAAAGCTGCTTAGTTAGCTATTGGATTAGTTTGCTTATTTGTATCTGTGTTGTATTTATCTGGCATTGGAATCAAGGTAACCTCATAGTATAAATTATGTAACCTTTGCTGTTTTGGGAGAAACTTATGTTAGAGTTACTATTGTAGTAGCACACACCTGTAATCCCAGCACTTCTAAAACGGAAGCAGGCTAATCTGTGAGTTCAAGGCCAGCCTGGTCTATAGAACGAGTTCCAGGACAGGCTCCAAAGCTACACAGAAAAACCCTGGGGGGGGGGGCTATTCTTGCCTTGAAACTTAGTGAAACTTAGTGGAACTTACCTTTAAAGGCATCTGGGCCTTGTTTGTTTTAGCAGTTCTGGGAGAGAACCCAAGGCCATGTGTGTGTTAGGCAAGTACTCTACCACTTGCTGTGTATGCCCCAGCCTTTGGTGTGTGTGTGTGTGTGTGTGTGTGTGTGTGTGTGTACACGTACATGTCCAGTCATTGTATGTGCAGGTGCATCTTGTGTATATGTGTAAGCTAGCCGTCAACCTTGAGTATTGTTCCTCAGGAAGCACCTACCTTGTTTTTTGTTCTGTGTGTGTAGCACACAGGTAGCAGTACAGAGGAGTTTATTGAGAAATACCATATATAGGTTCTGGAGATGAAACTCAAGTCATCAGGATTGGTGTCAGGTGCCTTTACCCATGAAGTCACCATCTATCTGGCCCTACATTGTTTTTTGTTTTTGTTTTGTTTTTTTTTTTTTTTTTGAGACAAGGCCTCAATACATAGCCCTGGCTATCTTGAAACTTACTATGTAGACCAGGCTGGCTTCAACCTCTGCAACCACGCCTAACAGGTGGCACTTAGATCCAGGGATCTTCCTGTATCTGCCTCGCCTGTGCTACTTGGCTTGTTACATGGGTGTTAGATATCAAACACAGGTCCTTAATGCTTATTCAGCAAGCATTTTACTGCCTGAGCTGTTTCCTCTAGTGCACACATACTCACCCCATAGACATGCATCGTGCCCAGCTGGTAACTCTTTTTTCTAATATTTTATTACACAATTTCAAGCATATGGCAAATTGAAAGAATTTTACAATGAATACCTATCTGCAAACTAGATTCTGCCATTTTGCCGCACTTACTCATCTCACGCTTATTTCTAGGTTCATTTTTTTTTACATGTTAACTTTTTTTTAACACTTTTTTCTCATTTTATATACCAGTCCCAGTTCCTGCTCCCTCCCCATGTTAGCTGTTTTTAACTTTCACAAAGTCATATAGATCCATAGGGTTTATTGTTGTACTGTTTTGTTTTTGTTTTACAGCTACTGGGTTTGATCTCTTTTTGAAAAGCAATTAAGGTTTATGAGTGAGTGTTTCACTTGTACACATATCTGTGTACCATGTGTGTGCCTGGTACCTGCAGAGGCTAGGAATGGGTATCAGATTCCCTGAAACTGAAGTTAAGATGCTTGTGAGCCTCCATAATGTACTGAGAATAAATTCTAGGTCCTCTGCAAGGGCAGCAAGGGTTTTCTTAGCCACTAAGCCCTCAAGGATTTGGTCTTTTTGCGGAAGGAGATTTGATTTTGTTGTTGTTTGATACAGAATCTTTCTATGAGGCACCACATTCAGCTTCCTTTTTTGATAGATCTTGCTGGGTAATCCAGGATAGTGTCAGTCTCATAACCCAAAGAGCTTAAGTTACAGGCTTGTCAACTATTGTGTAGGTGCTGGGAATCAAACCAGGGTGTTTTGTATTGTGCATATTAATTTTATAGCCAGAATCTCTACAAAATTTATTTTTATGTGAATCTGTGAGTGTATGTTTACATGTGCTCAGGAGGCAGAAGCAGGCATCAGATTCCCTGGAGCTAGAGTTACTTGTGGGTGTGAGCTGCCCAACATGGGTGCAGGGAACCAAACTTCCTTAAATCTCTGAGCCATTTCTCTGGCCCCTGATTTTCATTGTCATCATTATCACTGTTATTATTTTGGGGATACTGAAATTAGTGTCATGAATATGTTGTCCTTGAACTGTACCTACAGCTCCTGATTTATTATTTGTGATCTTTCTTTTGATTGATTTAGGCTTACAGAATTTATTCTAAAATTAGATACAAATAATGATGATTCTTTTGCCTTTACAGTTCTTTTTTTTTAATGATTTATTTTTATCTGATGTGCATAGGTGTCAGGTCCCCTAGAACTGGAGTCACAGACAGTTGTTAGCTGCCATGTGGATGCTGGAAATTGAATCCAGGTCCTCTGGAAGAGCAGTCAGTGCTCTTAACCGCGGAGCCATTCCTCCAGGCCCCCCTCTATAGTTCTTAATGCCTTTTCTTCCTTCTCTTATTTAATTGCTTTAGCTAGTGTCATTAAATAATGTAGTTTGAGTGGTGTCAACAGTGGACATTCTCTTGTTATTACTGCTCATAAGTAGAATCTTGCTGCATTCTTCTGTGAGGTTTGATTCATCTTGCTTGACAATGTTCTTTTTTACATCTTTATTTTTTTTCTTCAATGCTGGATACTAAACACCCATAGCAGTATTTTTTTCTTTTTAAATGAATGTGTATTGGTTCTTTTTAAAATAATACTTTTTTAAAGATAGGATCTCGTGTAACCTTAAACTCATTTTGAACCTTGACTAACCTTGAAATCCTGATCTTCCTGCCTTCACCTCTCAAGTGCTGGGATTATTGCTTACTGAGTCCTATACACTATATTAAGCTTTGAGGAATAAGGACTCAGCAGGCATGGTCCATCATTTCCTAGAACTCACCATTAAGTAATTTAACTTTTTATGATATTCGGGAAATAGAACCCAGGGCCTTCTGCATGCTGGGCCTGTGTACTACTGGTGAACTATATCTACAACACCAATATTTTTAGATGTGGGGGTTGCTATGTTGCCCAGGCTCACCCTGACCTTCTAGTGCTCAAGCCTTCTGCCTCAGGATCTTGGGCAGCTGGGGTTGATTAACTTTATCTTAGAGAGTACTTATATTTGGGATTCTAGGTACAGAGACAGAACTGGGAGAAGCCTGGATAGAGGAAGCTTGTGATACATGTGGACCAGAAGTGAGGAAGGGATGGAGATAAGTGGGTTGACTTTAAGAGCATATAGTAGTTAGTCCATGTAGTGGAGTGAAATTTTCAGAGTCTTTTTTTCTGGGGAGTGGGATTGAGGTCCTTGAAAGAGGGTTGTAGGGTAACTCTTACATCTTGAGCCTTTTGGGAAAAATGGTCTTTTAATCCCCATCCTTCTTCTCCTAGAGGTGGTCGTGGTGACAGGACTGGCCGCTATGGAGCCACTGATCGCACACAGGATGATGGTGGAGAGAACCGCAGCCGGGACCATGATTATAGAGACATGGACTACCGCTCCTACCCCCGAGAGTATGGCAGTCAGGAGGGCAAACATGAGTATGATGACTCATCTGAAGAGCAAAGTGCAGAGGTGAGGGCAAAGCCAGGTCTTGGGGGAAATGCTCCTGAATGGCCTGTGTGTCTACCTGCAACACCAGGTGTAGGCCATGTTCTGCTCCTGTGCCTTTGGATTGCTCAGTTGCTTTGTGTCACCTAGGGGAGGGTCTGTCCCTGCTCCTTCTCTGAGGACTCTTCTGAGTTGGGTTTCCCTGGCTTCCTCCACACTGCTTTACTCTGTATTTCTCAAGGTTCCTAGCCATTACTTCTTTCCCTTCTTCCCTGTTGTTCAGTTTTGGTCTTTGGTTCACTGCAAGCACTATACTGCCTGCCCTACCAATTTAGGGTACTCAAAAGGATCTCTTCCATGGGACCCAGCATCTAGGGTAGGGAGGACAGAATTAGCATCCAAGCCAAACAACTCTGGGAAGCTAACACTGGGTGTTCCTGATCTTGACAAAACCTTTAGACAGAAGGGAAGGAAAGGACCTCTGGGGAAGCCAGTTCTGTGTGGTAGTTACCTCTAGCCTAAAGGATGAGGCATGATGCTCACCACGAGAGAGCCCACATCTGAGGGCTAGAAACACCCTTGCCCCAGAGAACTCCAGTCTGAGGGGACAGTCAAAGACCTGGTGTAAGCAGGTAGGCAGGCAGGCAGCTCTTTGTCTAGTACGATGGAAAGGTTACACTTGCAAGCCGAGCCTTGAGGAATTGTATTTGAGCTATCCTCTACCCTCTAGGCAGAGGGGCTATTCCCTTGGTATACTTTGTTTGCTTAGCCAGGGCCTATAGGCATCCAGGCTTCTCAATTGCCTGCTCTTGAGCAGTGTCTCTTAATGGGTACAATGGACCTTGGAAAGAGACCATTGACAAGTATGGAATACGGCATCCAATTGTCTGGGCCTGTCCTCTGCAGGTGGGAGGATGTAGGCTTAGGCCAGATCTGCTTAGTGTTGAAATTAGTAGATTGGACAACAGCTAAGAATTAGCAGCTACACTCTCTTGTCAAAGAACTGATAATGAATGAAGACGTTGTCAGGGCTGAGGAATAAGGACCAAGGAGGAGCATAGTAGCCCACCAACTCCTGCTGGCTGCCTTAGACTCATATCTGAAACTGTTTCTAAAACTGCTGGTTTGGTTCCAGGGCCCAATCTTAAGCAGGGAACTATATAAGACAGGTCTTTTTCAGTGGCACAGTAAATAATTGTTCTCATACTAGCTAAGCTGGCAAAGGAAGAAAAGGGAAGAAATTGAAGGCAAAGTCTAAAACCCAGGCTAGTTTTTCCCAAGGAGGTTTAAGCTGTGTTTTTTTGTCTACCTGCCTTTGGGAGTTCCTCCTCCACACCAATACTGCCATTCTTTGAAGGCAGCTCCCAAAAGTATTCTGTGGAACATTTGCAGCCTTAAAAAGGCTACAATCCAAGGCCTACCCACTTTGCCTGACTGAGCCTTTAACTGGAGCCCGCCCGCCCACCCCTGGCTTTCAGAGCCCACCTGTCTCAGAGAGCCATCGGCCAGCCACTAGGCCCACCAGCTGACTGCCCGTCTGGTGTCTCTCATCTTATTCTGTCGGCCAGGATCCCTACGAGGCCTCCCCGGGCTCCGAGACTCAGTGTAGGCGGCACAGGCACAGTCCCACTGGCCCGCCAGGCTTCCCCAGAGACGGCGACTGTCGGGACTAGGACTATCGGACCGAGCAAGGGGAGGAGGAGGAGGAGGAGGAGGAGGAGGAGGAGGAGGAGGAGGAGAAGGAGGAGGAGAAGGCCAGTAACATCGTCATGCTGAGGATGCTGCCACAGGCAGCCACTGAGGATGATGTAGGTGCCCCTCCAATGGCCCTGGGCAGGTGGCAGAGCAGGAGGCCAGGCTGGGTTTTCTCCAGGGCTCTCAGCTATTCTACACCCATCCTTTACAACCAACCACAGCACCTTCCCTCTCTTCTCCCCCACCAGCTCCTGTCCCCCAGCACTATCCATCCTCCAGGATGGGCCCCATCAGTTCCTGGTCTGGAAGGGAGAAGGCAGCAGACAGGCTGGCTTAGCCCAAGGGCAGTAGCGTGGGTGTCCAGTGCTGGTGGGTATGAGAGAAGAGCGTCCCTCCTGCACATTCCATTGGCTTTCATCCTTTTCGTATATGTGAATGGAGGGCCAGACCCAGTGTTGGATATTCTTGGTGGCAGAGACCCATGAGAGTAAGATGTTAGGGCCCACGAGGCTTTTCCCAAATTCCATATTCCTGTTTTTGTCAGCAGTGACAGCCTGGCCATAGCTACCCATAGGTGGCTCTTGATAGCTTCTTGACCCTGTTTGCCTTTATGACATTCTCTGCCTTCAATCTTCCTCTCTTCACCAATTTCCTTCTCATATAGATGTCTTATGGCAAGCCACATTTGAAATCTAAAAGTATTACTAAAGTAGACTTTTGATTAGTCTCCCTGATCCTTATATCTCTCACTTCCTTCAGCCCCAGTTGGTTCTCTGAGCAGTGCTTCCCTGAAAGCCTGCCAACTGCCCTTTTTGTGACAGTAGTAATCCCCACTAAGAAGTCCTTCTAGGATCAGGCTGATTGCTGACATTTTTACCTGAGGTTTTATTGTAGGGTGGGCTATGTGCCAGGCTGATTGAATCCTCACAGAAGCTCTTTCTGGAAGGTACAAATTATAGTCAGTCCCACATAGCCCCAGTCAACAAAGTGACTTCTTTATGTTCCAACAAGTGGCAGAGTAGAGTTGGGGTCCAAACCTGGACTGCTGGACCCCAGAGCCCATGTTCTTGTTATTTCCCAAGCCTTCCTTGATTGGAGTCTTGATTGGTTTTCATCTTCCTGCATACTGGTGTTCATAAGACTTAATTTCTTGTCTGTTACCCTGATGAGGAACAGATGCCCAAAAGCACAGATTGTTCTCCCTAAAATGTATCTGGTATAAATTCCCCATCCACCAAAAGAGGTACTGCCAGCTTAGATACTGTCTCACCTGGGGTCCTCAGTTGCCTCTGTAGTCTCTCAGGATCATTTCACTCAGAAAGCTTTCCAGATCAACCACCATGCCTTTTTGTCTTTAAATTTCTCCTCCTCACAGGGCTGAAATGACTCAGGCTCCTATCCTTCTCTGTGTCATAGAGAGGGGAGGGAGTATTCCTTTGTGATGGATAAGACTTGGGCATTCCAGCTTCTATGCTTCTTGGCTACTACTAAGCCTCTTCTCAGATCACCCTCCCCACCATTCCTGACTTGCTGCCTCACTTGCTCTCCCGTTGTCTTTGTGCCGCTGGGGATCATCTTGTTCCCATCCTTTACCCTGTACTGTGTTTCTGTCTGTGTTTGTTTGACTCACTTTCCTTTACCCTGTCCTGTGTTTCTGTCTGTGTTTGACTCACTTTCTGTAAGTCCAAGGCTGGAAGCAAGACTGAGTACTAGGTGCAGTTGTTATTGGGGAGGCAGAGGAGGGGTGTGTGTGCGTGTGTGTGTGTGTGTGTGTGTGTGTGTGTGTGTGTGTGTGTTCGTGTCTTATACTTAGCTGCTTTCTTTACTAAATCCATCCCACTTCTTTATTTCCTGAACAGATCCGTGGCCAGCTGCAGTCCCATGGTGTCCAAGCACGGGAGGTTCGGCTGATGCGGAACAAATCCTCAGGTGAATTTTCGTTCCCAGTGCCCTCCCCTTCTGCTGACCAACCTCAGCCTCCAAAACTCCCTTCTGCCTCTGCCTTTCCCTCCCTCTTCCCCTCCCTATGCCTCTTCCTGCCACAGCTGGGAATGGGCAGCTTGGGGAGGGTGCCCTCTCTTTTTCTCTCCCACCCCCACTCTCACAGCTCCAGCCAACAGCCTCTACAGGAGGGCTTGTCCTGAAGAGGGTACAGCTCTGGGTTGAGCTGACTATTCCCAGGGGCAAGGCCAGGGCCAGGCTCTGGAAAACCTCTTTGGGACTCTGAGTATCTGAAGTGGTGACCCTTCCTAATACATATACTTTCTTTTCCTTCCTCTCTGCCCCTTGGTCTCCTTCACATAACTTTTGACAACAGCCTCTAACCAAAAGTAGGTCTCACATAGACCCACCAGTATGTCCCAAGAGGGGAGGCAGGGGATGGCTCGTGTATCCTAAGGAGCAGCCAGAACTTTCTGGCCTCGCCTGTTCCCTCCCTCCCTCCCTCTCTCCTTCTTGCAGGCTGCTTGGAGCTGGCCTGAGGTTTTAGCAGGGTGGGTGGAGTTGTCTCTGCAGGACCATTGCCCAGGCTCCCCAAGGCAGGCACAGTGGGGCCTCACTCTGCCTGGGCTTCTCTTTCCATCTCAGTCTCTCTCCTTATACCTCCTCCCTCTCTCCATCCTCCCTTGCGTACCCCCTATACAATTCTACCCACCCATGCATCCTGATGGTGATTCTTTTGGATGAAGCATGCCCTCCAGACCCACCACATTCAAGCCTCCTTCCGTTGCTACCTCTAAAGGAGTTACTTTCCCAGAATCGTAAGCCCCAAGGCCCTGGCCAGGCCTGGCGTCTGTCTCAGTGACATGTAGGTATTGTTTTCATTAAAGTAAGCTTTTCTGGCCCTGGATTTCAAGATTGTTGGACATTTGCTCTTTCTCTTCTCTTCTCTTCTCTTCTCTTCTCTTCTCTTCTCTTTTTCTGCCTTTTTTTAGGCCTCCTGGGATTCCTTAACTCTTAAATGTTGTCTTCAAAGAGTATTTTTTCCTCTAGGATTTTCATTTCATGTGCAAGAATGTGGGGGCTGTCCCTTCTTGACTGCTCGAGAGTGACAGTGCTGGCACCCTAGTTTAGGATCTTCGTAATGGCTTCACACTAGAGGAACAGCTTAGAATCTGTTAGATTAGTTTTTCTTCACTCAGACTTAGCTTGTTGCTCTGATTTGTATTTCCTGCACGTCATAGTGGAAGAGATAGTGGGGGAAGGCCTTGTTTATAGAACAGGGCCTGTTGGCTGGGTGAGCCACATCCTCTGGAAATCCTAAAGGCTGCTGACCACTTGAGGATTCTTCCTTCACCTCTGAGATAGAATATGCTTTACCCGTTTCCCTTTGTTAAAAACAAAACCAAACACAAAAAAGCAGGAAAACAGTTTACACTTTACCCTGGAGGAAGCTAGTTTGGCTCTCGTTTCTGTCTGAAACAGCTGTGGCTCTTGCAGCTGGTGCATTGCTTGGCGGAAACTCTCTATTTGCTGGTTCCTGCTTGTGTTTCCTTCTCTGACCAGGGGATTGTGCAGCTCTCTCTGTTGGGTGCTGTTTAAACTTAGCAAGGAAAGGATGACTGGTTTCTCTGCACTCTTTGCTGTTCACATTCATCCTTTTCTACTTCTAACATCCCCAAAGGTCATTTAAGCTGCATACCAGAAACTTTCTCTGAGTTCATTTGTGTGAGTGAATGTCTCTTTGTGGTAAGACTACTTGAGGGTTCCTCACATCTATTTTTGTGTGCTCCCTAGGCATTGAAGTCCCTAATGTTTTCTTGCGAATGAAACTTGCTGGCTCTTTCCCTCTAGTAGAACCCAGCATAGTATGTGCCTTGTCCAGTTCTCAATCTTATGCTACTTTAGATTACTTCTGGAGTTAGTTTTAGAGAAATTGGCAAGCCTGTCAATTGAACCAGTTCAGTTCAGTTCAAAAGGTACAACCATGTGTTGATAAGCTGTATAATGAACCAAGAAGTGGGAAAGTTGACCAAATGACTGCCATTTTGTTGCTGAGAGATTTGCGATGGGCAGTCCAGGCATTCTGACTTCTTTGGGCAGCCCTACATCACAGCACTGCTAAAGTTCTGTGCTCAACCAGAGTATTTGAAGTGCCGTTCTGGAAACGTGTGGGCTCCTTAACCTCGCCTGGTGGTCAGGTTGCCATCTTCCTGGGCAGAGCTGCGCATATCTACCCTCTCTCCTTCTTCCTCAACCTGGGCAGAAGGCACAAGATTGGTTGGAATTTTCAACACATGGTGATGTTTTCAGGTAAAATATATTTATATAATATATAAAGAAAATAAATTTTATTTAGCAAACAATGATAATATGACTAAAATATAAACAACTTGGCTTTAAAGCACACGTCTGGAATTCCAGACTAAGAAAGGGGGAGGCAGAAGGATCAGAAGCTCAAGGTCATGCTTGGCTGCATATTGGGCTAAATGAGACCCTGTCTCAAGATCCTGTTACACATCAACCTATCTTTCTACTCTTCCGTGTGCTACCCCTTCCTTTACGAAGAAAAATACTGCCCTGCTTTCCATAAATGTCCAGTTCCACACATTCATAGTCAGGCAACATTTCTGTTGACTGCGTGGTATTCGGATAGAAGACTTAGAGCTTGTTATTATGCAAGCTTCTTTTCCTTTCCAGTCATTAGGAGAAGATTCATTTAAATAATAAGAGCGGTTAGTATTCTGCCATACAAAGTGCTGCTGTTTTTCTTCTTATGCTGGGAATTCTGTGCAAGCCAGCTTCAAAGGGAAGAAAACCATACACCTTTAAGGTGCTTCTACCTGGCTTAAGCAGCTGGGCTCCCAAAGCATATGGCTAGGGTTCTATTATTCCCACAGTGGCAGTGCATTCTGAAGAATTATCACCAGGTTCCCACATCACCAGAAGATCTTCCTGTTTGGTCCCATAGGCCTGAGGGGAGCAATGGCATTTGCACTTGCTATCCGTGACACGACATCCTATGCCCGCCAGATGATGTTCACAACCACGCTGCTTATTGTCTTCTTCACTGTATGAGTCATCGGTGGAGGCACCACGCCAATGCTGTCATGGCTCAATATAAGGTCAGTTTGAAACCAAGCCAATTTTGCGTCCAAATGTGTCAGTTGTCATAATTCTTGAGAAAGCTCAAGGTGCTGTGCAGGCTGTGCTTGTGAAAGATTTTCCTTCTTTTGGTTTAAGCAATGTGTGTGGGGAGGAGGTGTTTTAGATTTTTTAAAATTAAAATTTAGAGTATTGGGATTTTTCAGGATACAAAATTGTCATTGAATTCTAAAAAAACAATCGAAAATAGGATTATCAGTACACACAGAAACTAGGATGAGCTGGCTCCTTAGCCAGCTCCTTAGCCAGCAGCCAAAAGAGGCAAGTAGATTTTGCTTTCTTAGGATTTTGTATGCAGTGCCTTTTCTTGCTTCCGTGCAAAAAGGAGATGACATTTTCTTTTCTTTTTTGAATTTTCGAGACAGGGTTTCTCCGTAGCCTTTGATTCCTGTCCTGGAACTAGCTCTTGTAGACCAGGCTGGCCTCGAACTCACAGAGATCCGCCTGCCTCTGCCTCCCGAGTGCTGGGATTAAAGGCGTGCGCCACCACCGCCCGGCTTTTCTTTTCTTTTTTGAGCTTTTTTTTTAATTAAAAATTTCCACCTCCTCCCCTCCTCCCATTTCCCTCCCCCTCCCCCCTCTGCCCTCTCCAGTCTGAAGAGCAGTCAGGGCACCCTGCCCTGTGGGAAGTCCAAGGTCCTCCCCCTTCCACCCAGGTCCAGGAAGGTGAGCATCCAAACAGACTAGGCTCCCACAAAGCCAGTACATGCAGTAGAATCAAATCCCAGTGCCATTATCATTGGCTTCTCAGTCAGCCCCCATTGTCAGCCACATTCAGAGAGTCCAGTTTTATCCCATGCTCGTTCAGCCCCAATCCAGCTGGCCTTGGTGAGCTCCCATTAGATCAGCCCCACCGTCTCAGTGGGTGGGTGCACCCCTCACAGTCCTGACTTCCTTGCTCATGTTCTCCCTCCTTCTGCTCTTCAACTGGACCCTGGGAGCTCAGTTCAGTGCTCCAATATGGGTCTCTGTCTCTATCTCCATCCATTGCCAGATGAAGGTTCTATGATGATATTCAAGATACTCATCAGTGTGGCTATGGGACAAGGCCAGTTCAGGTTCCCTCTCCTCTGATGCTGCCCAAGGACCTAGCTGAGGACATCCCCGTGGATACCTGGGAACCCCTCAAGAGCCAAGTCTCTTGCCAACCCTAAAATGGCTCTTTTAATGTAGATATCTTCTTCCCTGCTCCTATATCCACCCTTCCTCCATCTCAACCATCCCACTCCCCCAAGCTCTCCCCAATCCTCCCCTTGTCCGTTCTCTCTCCCCCTCTCCCCTTCCCTCATCCCACCCCCACCCCATGTTCCCAACTTTTGCCTGGCGATCTTGTCTACTTCCAATTTCCAGGAGGATAAATATATGTTTTTCTTTGGGTTCACCTTATTATTTAGTTTCTCTAGGATCACGAACTATAGGCTGCAATTCTAATGCTTGGGAAGTAGAGTCGGGAGAATTAAGGGAAAATAAAAAAATCAAACTCAGGTCAACATCCCTCTGTTATTTGTTAGACAAAGCTACAGACTACACACAAAAGATGTCATGGGGCTATATAACAGATGAAAGTTACATAGAAAATGCCATATCCATCCATTTTGGTATGTCTCCCCCGCCCCCCAGACTGTCTTAGGGTTTCTATTCCTGTGAAGAGACTTCATGACCACAAGTAATGCAAATGCCTGAAGAGTCACTCTCCAAAGAGCCACAAGGTGGCAGTATATCTTTCTCTATTGGTCTTTAGTTTGTTTTCCCTCTAGAACGCAGAATGCCAAAGACAGCTGGAGCTCCTACACATTTCAGAGGAAAGAAGCGGGATTTGAGAAAATGGCCTCTTCCACCTGAGGCTTTTATACTAATGGTATAATGGTAGGCAGGGATTCCTGGGTTTGGCCACTGCCAGCTATGCCATTTCTGGGCTAGTATGTCTCAGTCTGCAGATCAAGGCTTCTTGGTGACAATCAGGGTCCTCACTCATGCTTGCGTTGCAGGTGCTATTTGCGTTTCCATGCCTATGTATTAAGATATGGTTCTCAGAACATTCCCATAGTGGAGATAA